GTGCACCACGTGGAGGTAAGTCTATCGCACACCCCTCGTTATTAGATACAAAGGTGGGTGTGTTCATTAGTAAATACTGTCTACATTGTACTAATCGGACGAGGGAAGTCCTCGTTAGTGCAGAGGAAAGGGTGTGAAAACTCAATTCAGCGGGAATGGGGTTAATTAGTGGTCCTCCTCTTCTCAGCCCGAGGGATATGTGCTTCTCAAGCAGTCTTTTTTTAGAGGTCTGTACTGAATCCGATTTCATAATTTGCTATAATATTCTCATGTGTGATTTTCAACCACCACCGTCTTTTAATGGACTTTAGAGTCTGAAATTTGGCTCTTGAATGCTTCTAAAAATGATGCAAACTCATTTTAAATTTCATGTCTCCGAGATGCTGCATTAACTTAGGTAACCACCACCAGCTCCACTTTGTTTATCCGTTTTGTCTAGATTGCTTAATTAGATACCAAGGACAGAAAAACTACCCCTTTAACCAAAATATGATGTTTACACAAGTCATCTCGAGACGAGATATTCTTTCTTGGACGGTAAATCTTTATTTCTGTTGTTATAAAATTCCATTTTCTCTATTGTCTAAACCGATTTGCTTTTTGGAGTGGACTTTTGAATTTGTGAGTCTATGATAGAATTAACTATTTTGTTAAACATATAACTACTTTACAGTTTATTATTGATTTGAAAGGAGTTTTTCGACACAGTCGAAAGTCATTTCAGATTCTATTTTGTGTGCTAGTGACACATCTCCTTTTCTTTATAGTTTGGTAGCCGGGTATCTTGTTCACCATGGTTACATTGAAACTGCTAGTACATTTTCACGTTGGACGAAAATGGGCGAATCTGCATCCTCTCCTAAAAAGACTCGCTGTGATACTGACCCGACGGCCGCCCCAACACCTGGAGGAGGAGGAGGAGAGGGAGCATCGACAGAAGAATTGCCGACAGAATCGGCCGCTCAAAGTGATGCTGAGCCAGAGTCTTTCCCGGGAATCGGGAGCATGCACCATCGCCGATCTCTACGCAGCTTCTGCCAGCGCTGCAAATTTGGCCTGGTTGCAAGCACGCTCAATGCTCTCTACCCCAGAATTGTGGAGAAATACCCTGAACTCATCTTGCAGTTGAGATGTCGTCAACTCATTGAAATGGTATTCTTCCATATAAAATGAAATGCTTTATTTATCGCTTTTTTTTGTCCTTTACTTAGCGGTTAGTAAAAAAATAAGTGTAGGGCAAAGTCCCCTCCGATGCAATAATTTAGCGCAACTGGCATAAACTTGAAGTACAAGTTCAAGTGTTGTAATTTTTTTTCGACTAAAGTATTTAAAGTTGAATCAAGTGATGCTCTTCACTTATTCGTCTTCTGTCAACTGATTATTATTATCCGATCCTTTGATGTTCTATTTTGTACCGTTGTTATTTGATTTCAAGTTAAATCAGTTTAAGTTTTGTTCCGATTGTATTCTCTTTAAAGTAGGCACTGAAGAGGAGAAACTTCCGAGGTCCATTAAGTTCATTTCAGTTGACTTGGATAGAATTCGTGTTCTAGAGTGGTTCTCATTCTACCGCCTCTTGATGATCAGAATAAGTCCGTGAATTTTGCCATCCACGTCACTTGATGCTTACTGATTTGACCTCTTACTTCGCAAATGAGCACTTAATCACTTGTTGGAAATCTTTTTCTGGCACGCCTTTGTTGTGGAACTCATGTTTTGTTGCCTTCTTCTTTGTCAATTTCAACCATTAAGATTTGCCCATACTGTGCATTATTTGGGTGAAAGTGCGCTGAATTTGCGGATATGCACGCTGACCATTACGCCACCAAGCATTGGTGTTAGAACTTTTCGTTACTTTTCATTAAGTTCTATCGAGCTGTTTGAATATTTTTTTAGCTGATATAATGCCTTTTTTGATCTACTCTATCCATATTGGTAGTGGATTGGTTTTGTTTCTCTTTTTTTTATAGCGCTAATTGAGTCGCCATTTGATTGGTTAACGTCGGAGTTCTAGATTTGATTTAAATGAAAAAATAGTAGGTGGTGCATCATCTCAACTACCTGGTTTAGATTTCCTCTCAACTCACTACATTTCACAAACATCTTATGAAATCGCCATAACTTTGTTCCTATTCATTTGACCGTAAATTAAATCTGTTTAATGGCTTATCTACAGTCATTACTCGGTTAGTTAGTTAAATTAGACGGGGTCACATGATCAAGTAGGCAACAGCAGTAGTCGGCAATTATACACCAGTACAAGGCAACACGATGCCTTCCCTACTACCCCCCCCCCGCCCCCCTCGTTGCCTGGCATTGTTCCTGATCTTGCTTAACGCAGTCACGAGGTCTTGTGGAGCAATTAATCGAGGAAGTGTCTACACGCCATTACTGGTGTGACAGTAATGACGTGTAGGCACTATTGAGAGGAGAGGAAGCTTGTACTGCACTACCTTCACCACGAACAAAGAGGAGAAGGCCACGAATAAGGCACAAGTGCACAATGAGGTAAGGCTGTTCATTTGCTCGTCAGCTAAACCAGAAGTCAATGTTTCGATGCACATTGGGTGGAATTGTGGACTGCACTAATTAAGTATGACTGGTACTGGACTATGCTTCAACCCTAAAGCTCATGAAATATTGTGTAGAGTATTTTGAAGGAATTAGGATAGGACACGTTGGTAAATTAGTTAAGAGAATAGTTACTGCAAGCTTACTCATAGAGAAAAGAAAGCTTGTAAAAAATTTGTAACTCATAAGCTGGCCAAAACCTACTTGGTTGTGTATTCAAAGCAAAGTGAAGGGCTTGGTTTTAGTGGACGGAGGCAGGAACATTGAGTTTTAAAATCGATTATTTGGTATTCGAGGCATGAAACCAGTGAGTTTATGCAGATTAATCAGCAATTATTTAATTTGACTGTAGCTGGTCTAAATGAGGAAAATGGTTAACTCGATTCCGTTGGTGGTTTTAGTTCATTCATTCATAGGCTGTCTCTGAGTTCACTCAGCTGCAGGAAAAGTATTCTCACGAGTCAGGTGATTTGCTATCTGTCATCTCCGGTGTTGGTATCCGATTCTGAATACCCAGTAAATTTTTTTAATCAAACACGGCTCTGTTCCCTTGTCTATTCCACTCCCAACTTCTCCCCTCTTCTTTATGTAAGCGCACGTCTTGAATGCTGGTTTATAATAGCTCACTGCATTCCTATTGTTCTCTACAAATTAAATTTAGTTCTTCAATTTTTCGTTTTGACATATTTAAAATAGTAGTTCCAGGTACGCAAACTTGAAGACAAGTGAGTAACTTGATGCTTATCCTCAGATACATCAGCAGGCAATTGGAAAGAACTATGTTGTGCTATCCCTATGACATAGTGTAGAAAAAGGATCGTACAACTCGTGATTAAGCCCTCTTTCTTGCCTCTTTCAGGTGCACCGTCATTCAGTACGACTTTCAGGTCAAGGCCCAACTTCATCATCCAGCGATTCAAAGCTGCTTTTACATCAACGTCAACAAAGCCAGCAACAGATGGAGGTGGATGGAGGTTGTTGTCGCGGTAGTCGTAAGCGCCCCTGTGTAGCAGATACCACTTCATCTGAAGGTGCCTATTGTGCCTGCACTAGTGGTTCTGTACCCACTTTAGCCACCTATGATGATGGCCGTGCTCAATCTTTGGTCCATCAGGTTCGTATTTCTTTTATTCTCTCGATATCCTAATCTCATTTCAATAGTTTTATTTGTTTGGGAATTGAAGCAATCCTATGTGCCACTGGTGCGTGGAAGTGAAGTTGGTAGGACGCTCGTTTCCGAAGTTGGAGATCTCATTTTTGGTTTCCTGAGGCCTTATTGTGTTACCCTCTACTCAGAATAAGTGTTTAGATGGCTTGCCTAAGTGGCTTTGGAGTTCATTTTACATCTTTGATTTTTTAAGGCTGAGGTCAGCACAATGAGTCATACGGCTCTAGGCATAAAGTGCTGGGAAATTTGTGTATCAGCTCTGCACTATTAGTTAGCATAAGTCCGTTGCATAAGTAGAGCAAATCGGAGTTAACTGGCAATTCATTTGTGTTTTATATTGCCGGGAGGGATTGTGGTTGACATCATATTTTCATTTAAAATGCTTCCTTTAATTGCAATCCATATCCAGATGATATTACTTTTTAAGTTAACAGAACTTTCATCCTGTTCATATCCTTATCACCTCGAGTGCAAGAACCTACCTGCCTTTTTATCTAACAAATAGGGTGTGGTGATGTGATAGGGGGGGGGGGGCTTTTTAATTTCCAAATTAGAATTTAACTACCACCTAGATATATGGATATTGTATTATGCTCACCAATAATATTTGCCTAATTAAAACTCTATCGGTAGAGTCAGACGTGTGTTGCATGTCATATTTTAGTGTCGTGGTTAATACGCTTGACCACCTTTTCAACCCTGCTTATACCCATACCTCTCTCCTTACTTTAGTCAATCATCTTTTTCATCACGAAACCACACTCGAATTTAGTCATTGTTGATCATCTTTATTGAAACAGATCGTGTACTGAAGGAAAACTAAGATAGGAAACTTGTTTAGGTCTATAAGAGACACGAGAGATGGAAATAAGGAACAAGGTTCGTAAAGATTGTAAATGGCCAGAGAAGGCGTTCATGTGTCCCATATGAATCCGGCTTCCTTGTGATCTCTCAGTTTGGTTTCCCCATGTGGTCTAATCTGTAACCAGTGTGTTTCGATTTGATCCTCAAGGTTGCGGGCACACTTCTAGCAACCTTGGTGCTTACACCATGAAAGTCTGCCATTACTCGGTCTACTTTGCCCCATGTTCTGTTATAAACAAAGCTCGCCTTTGTTTGAGTCGATGAGTCAGCTACTGTTGACGCAACTCGCGTCACAGTCGATCGACTTAAAGATTAAAGCATGTAATCGGTAGAAATTCAGTTACTTGTTTTTGGAAAAGTCAAATGAATTACGGGAAGTTTAAATGCAACTATTCAGCAGTAATCGGAATTACTTTAGAGAGATTTATTCTATCCAACTTTGAGCATGTTTTCTTTGTTTAGAAAATGGCTAATTAAGTCATTTTTTCTCGTGTTTGCGTAAATGTTGATGCTGCTAGTACTGCAACCTTAAGTTTGGAGTTAAAGGACTGATTTTTTTTTACAAATTACCAATCACATTTTATTCAAGAAGAGTCACCTTATGTGTGTGCATGTGAGTTGAGTTTCCTTAATATAGACGCACTTCGCACAACATGATCTTACGAATGAAGGGGGAAGTCTGTTCGTTGTTATTTGGATGCTAACTTGCGTGTTTAGGTAGTCATGCGTGGCCTTTGCGTTAGCTGGAGTTCTCATTCGCTTGTTTATCTCTCCTCTCCCCCCCCCCCCCTCCCCCCCTCCTTCTATCACTCTAAGCCCCGGATACGGTTGGGCAAAGGCCTATGCTAGTCTCGCACTTTGCGCAAAATTTTAAGTGCAAGTTCTACGTGTCAGTCGTCTACTTATTAAGAAATTAAGTACTGTGCAGAATTAATGAGAAGTAACCTGACTACATATTGTTTTTTTAATAGCAGGAAAAGCATACAGTAAGGTTTTTCATCTGAAATGCTATTTGTGCAATAGCATTCATTGATAGGTTCTTTGATGGCTTGAAACTTCTCTAATGAACCTATACGTCTTGAGCATTTTTTCATTTCGAGATCCTTATAGCGAATCACTTTACCTTCATTCTACATTTTATCCTTATGGATCTAACCTTTGCGCATCATAGAGGGAGAGTTTTGCTTGGTGAAGTTATGGTAACTGAAGACACTGAGTTCAAATTACTGTAGACCAGTCCAAAGGTAATCGGTATTCAAGTAGTAGTAGTAGTTCGAAAACTATCTGGGTTTTGCAAACATGGCTCTATTTGAAGATTGGTGTACCTCATTGTCATAGACTTATGATTATGTCACCAATTACCTGTTTTTCTTCCTGGTGTTTATTGGTAATTTTGTGCTTAATAAAATTCATGAATTTGTTTAAAGTAGCCCCGTGTTTATCCAATATGACTACGATATTTCAATGACATAAATCGCTCCTATTACAGTTCTGCAATCTCTATGGTCGGGTTTGACGGCGAAATAACTGATGCAACTCTTTGTTATTGTTGGAATGGAGGGTAGATGTCGGCGATTTTAATCACAATGGGAGTGAAGGGTTTTGAGAGTAATTAATTGTTGTGCGGAAATACTTCATTGAATCTAAGTCCCCTCCCCCCCCCCCCCCCCCTCCCTCCATTCCAATTGTCAAAGTGTGTGCTACAATATTTTTCGTACACTTTCTTTATTCCATGTGTAACTCTACCGACTGAAGGGATTTAGCACCATCCATGGTTTCTCTAATGGATACCTTTGTTACCTTGGTTTTCCTATTTCTTTGCTTTTCATGAAAAGAACTGATGCACCATAGTTAGGTCGACTATTTTCAATTCCATTTAGTCATTGCCTTGTTGGAAAACGTTGACACAGATAAGACCTAATAAAGAGATCGCAAAGTATATGCGGGTGGTGTCTCTATGCTGTGCTTCGTCTTCACTGTGTTGACATAAGCGGGTAATCTGATAGCTAGCCTAGACAGAACAAATGTACGAAACTGCCATCTACGTTAACAGCATGAGGAGTGTTAATTCTAAGCTGTCGTCTGAAGGTCATTTCTTAAAGCGTTGATAAGTTGCATTCGCTTAATTTTACAAACACAAGTCATATCAATTGGCAATGATAAGTGAATGATGCCCTTGTCTGTTAACTTCACTGCTAACATGACATTTTGCTAATATGATAAGTCGTTTTTCGGTCTTGGTGGATTTCGCTTAGCATTAGTTTGACAAATTCTGACTGCTAATTTAACGAATGTTCATATTCTTTAAAGGCATCTTCTGAATAGTTCTTCGCCACATAGTTATTGGTTAAACTTTATCCATTTTATTTGCAGTGAACTTGTTTGACTCACCAATACCAGGTTATATAAAATCAATATTGACCTGAGCACTCCGTGAGTCTGTTCAGTTTTTTTTAAACTTTGTGTTTTGTGTTCTGCATAGACATAGTTTTCCCCTTTCATAGTAGCCAGTATTTCTTGTTTGGAATTTAAGTAAAAGTTTGGGTTTAAAGAGCTGTATTTGATGTCATCCTCACTTTTTGAGAAAGTGAATCAAGTTAACTCACTTTTCTCCTTATCTTCGAACTCACTCGGATTCTAATGTTATTTATTTTCCACAACTCCTCTTATAGGTCAAAAAGCGACGTTTCGTGGACGCCTTATCTGTTAAGCATGTAAATCAGTGTTTTCCCCATTAGCTACTACTACGTGCTGTATTTTTTGTTTGCTTGCTAGTTTGAAATTATAGTGCTGTCCACTCCTGTTCAATCTGCTTTAGGAGGGAGAGAGAGAAATGTTAGAAAAGAAGACAGCAAAATTTGCCCTCTGGTCTTGAATTGTCGCAATTGAAATTGGGAAATCGTTTTCTACTGGGTCCTAGTACACCTACATTTTGATTGTACAACACGACCCGTCATTTCTCAATTGGTTAAGAGTCTGAAACTGGAATCATTTGTATGTCCTAACATCTAGTGGTGTAATTTTTTTCCAGCGTGCAAACCGTTTTATATGAATTCAATAAGCATTGCGCCATTTACAAATCTCAAAGTGAGAAGTTGCTCTCAATAACTATGACTTAGGGCTGCTTATTGCCTCGGGATGATTAGCTCACACCCCCTTAGGTGTTATCAAAGAAGTGAAGTGCTACATCAATAAACTTATTCATAATTACCATTCACTTTGGAGGAGGGAACTTCCCACTGTGGCTAAACCATGGTTGGTGATATGGACGAAGCTGTATGTAGCGTGACCTTAGTAGAATATTATGAAGGAGCATAAAGCCTCTAGGGATGTATGGAAAATGAACGAATGAACGGACTTCAAATGGTGAGAAACGACTTGCATTTACCGTATGTCTACCTCATTTCCCCTCTTGGACAATAGCCACCAATGACTATGCGGTTTGATCTAAGCATTGGTCACACTGTTCACAATTTGTCTTCTCCATAGGTCTAGTTAGCGTGTAGTGCGTGCGTGTGTGTGTGTTTTGATTTGGTTCAGCAAAGTTGCGAACACACTTCCAACGGCCTTGAACTAGAAACATAAAAATTTTGCTTATATAGATAGTTATTCCTTTCCTTCTCTTGTTAGGTTAATTGATTAATAAATCAAACTTCTTTTTTCTTGTTTTCTCCAATTTCGTTCGCAGATTGAACACCTGTTCTTGTTGAATCTGTTGATAACATCTCGCCCTTTATTAAACTTTGCCGACCTTGAAGCTCTAATTTAGTCATTGTTTGCCATTTCATAATTTGCCTTATTTGAGCTGTCACTTATCCATCGGTTTCAATAGTAGTTATGTGCCTACTAGTGTGAACCATACAATTTTGTATTAAAAGTTAGCTTAATTTAAGTCGTTATCGTAGCAATTATGCGCTCATTTCCTTCTTTTAGAGCCATGAATTATGTTCATCAGCGGCCACATCCTGTGACGCGATGGACATTGATAGCTCCAGCCTTGTTCCAGAGTCCACAAGCGAACAGGCATCCCTCCACATCCCCCAGCTTCAGCAACAGCAACTAGTCACCAAGCCCCACCAAGTCGCCAATGGAAGCGGCGCCTTGTCATCGGCGAATGTGGCCATTTGTGGTTTCCCTGACGACGACGACGAAGATGACGATATTAATTACCCAGTCTTACCTATCCCCATGGCTATTGGTAATTTAAATAAGTATATTCCACTCTGTTTACAGGTAGTAAGGTTGACCAAGATAAGCCAGGTAGTATGAATGATAGGAATGAATGATTCTCTCTCTGTGCTGATTACATGAATGCTTCCGACTCTTGTGTAGCAACACACTATGCAGATTTGTCATTTTTTGAAATCGAAGTCTCCAGTTGATCTGCTAGCTTATAATCACAGTGGTGAGGCATAATTAGAGCTTTATTCAATGCATTGGAATTGCCGTTGTTTTTCTCCCCTATGCGTACATTCTGAGTTATTGGGTATGTTTTTGTTTCGGACAAAAATTGAGCACCACTCATACGGAACTACTTAAAACCGAGCTAAAACACACAAAGACCCAACCTGTTTATGAGCTGGAGGAATACAAATTTGCTCTGGGTTAATGGAGGGAATTCATTGTTGGTATCCAGTTGGTCTCTTCACTATTTTAGTACTTTAAATAGTTTATATTTTGCCTCGGGCTATCTCATCTAGTTTTACATTTCCAAGCAACTTATTGTCTCTTAAAAGAAGTTGTTCTTGTCTCTAGGTGGAGCTGCACCCCAGCAACAGCAAGTCCCTTCAATCGTTGGTTCATCTGCCTCATTGAATGCCCTTTCCGGCGATGGTGGTGCTCGGGACTACTTGTTGCGCCAGATCCACTTCAGTCGTTCCTTAATGGATCTGGTCAAAGATGTTGAGAGACAGAAGGGCACAATCTCACCCGAAACTGACCGTCTTCTTCATGTAAGCCTAGTCTATCTCCACAAATTCACTGGAATTTGGAAGGGTCTTTGTCATTGTTGTTCTCTCTCTTGTAGGATTCAGTGTGCCTGCTGGCCTATGAGAAGCCTGCTGATCCGGAATGTCCCCTCAGGTGCCTTCTTGACTCCGCCGGTCGTGATAACATCGCCAGCCTTATCAATAGCGCAATTCTCAGTATGTTTGATTCTTTTAGTTGCATTTCTGTGTGTGCTTACGCTTAAGCCATCCACCTGATCTCTAAGTCATGTGCTGTACGTCATTAAATAATAATTAAAAGAGCGGAAAGATGACGAGAGGAAGCGACCACTTTGACAAAATTGCTCGATTAATGATTAAATGATTCTTTTTCTGGCTTCTCAGTGGTCCACGTGCTTTGTTGTTGGCTTGTGAGGTAATTTGCTTGGCCTACCTGCGAGTCCTCCTCTCATTATCACTGTACTTGATCGAGCAGATCTGCAACAGGCGAGAATGGTTCGTCTTGCTATGGGGCAATTTTTTGCCTTGTAAAATTACTTTTTGAACAGTATGACAGTTTTAGGTTTTATCCAAGATTCCAATTGTGTTTAATTGGTGCACCTTAATCTAGAAGGCAATTGATGGAAAAATTGTTTAGGTGGGCTAGAGAGAGGAGGTGGTGCCCTGTGAATGACGAATGGAAAATTAATGTTTTACGTTTATTAGAAGAGAAGGGGTATTCTGGACATTCAGTGGTTGAAAGTGCTCACTGCGTCCCAACATGTTTAAACATGCCACTTGACCCGTACTAAGCGCCTTTTCTCTGCTTTGTGTTTTTTGCTATTTATAAATCGGTGTTAAAAGTTTGTAAGCTCGAGTGAACTTCGTGACGATTTATTGCGACCGCGAAATAGCTAAAAACTGCAATGCAACTTGTCTGTTTTTTTTGCATTCATTCGATCGTTAAAATAGTTTGAAAGAAGGCCGATTTCTAACTCGTCTTAGAATGTCTCTAATGATGTCCTCTAATGACCCCTTTAATCCAATAGTCGTTTTGTCATTGAAACCTTCATCTGCTACCACTATATCATTTCAAATGGCAGGCGTTTTGAATAGTTATCAATAGCCATTTAGCTAACTTCGGGCTTCACAGAGGGAGGAACATCAAAGTGAGAAAAAATCGAGAGGGGGGAGCAAAAGAGTGATTCAAAGAAGTAGAAGAGACAGACAGACACAAAGGTAGAGAAAAGGTGAGATGAGTACTGTGGAAGTTGTGGAATATGACATAGAGTGGGGTGATGGTAGTTTGAAGTGAGAAGCCAGTTGCCGGTTAATAGACTTTTTTGCCGTATGAGTATACGTTGCCCAGGGTGCACCACGTGGAGGTAAGTCTATCGCACACCCCGCTACCACTATATTTGTCATTACTTACCAGTACCATTAGGCATGTCGATGATTGGGAGATTTGTAAATTTTGGTCTTAGGAAGAGGTCGCAGTTTTTATCCCCTCTACAGCTCTTTACTACCAGAAGTGTAATTTCAATCTCGAGACACTGTACAGTATAATATTGAGCCTTTTTTAAACATCATTTTGATGTTAAAATTACGAATACGATTTGGGAACAAATATGCATTGCTTCTAGTATTACAGTTGCAAAATGTGCTGTTGGAAGATAAAATATGAAGATTCATTCATTTCATTGGTCAATAAAGTACAGCTTTGTTATTGGGCTTGAGAGTTAAAATGAGGGCTCTTGGTGGCCTTGTGGTGGGCTTTGAAATCACACAAAGGAAATAAGGTCTATTTCTAATGTACTTAGTGTTTACACCAGCCGGTAACCTTAATCCTGTTTTTCTGTTGCGAACCCATTAATTTAATTGAGAAAACCTCAATCCACATGCTAATTGGCTATGCCTTGCCTACCTGTTTCACTTATCATGTTATTTATTGGCGTAGCAATGTGTGGGGGGGGGGTGACGCCTGTTATGTTATCTCGTGCCTCCTCTGGTTAAGTTTAATTGATTGATCATAAATGCTACCATCGTTCCGGAGGTGTTTTGATCTCCAAGCCTTAGTAATATCGAGACAACTTATATATTTATAGCAAAGAACAGATTTCTGAGTTAGTAAAGTGTCTGCATTTATCTCCTTAGTTCGAGTTAATTTGTAGCCTGGCGAGTTCTGGCGGATTAGATACATTATGGTGGATTTAATTTCTACGTATGAGCGAACATCCTTTGGCCTAAATCATGTTTATCAGAGTTCTAGTGGCTATGTATCCTATTAGCTGCTTGGCGACCTTATTAATTTACAAGGTTGTATGTGTTGATTGGTATTAAATCTGAGTGCTGTTTTCCGTCTCTATTCAGCTGAAGAACATAAGCTTCCTGCACAACCAATCATAGAGAAAGTCCTCTTCAAACTTGAGCGTTATATAACCTCCTCAGATGGTAATCAAGCACAAGCCCTCGCCCACTTCCTTCTCTACCACTTAACTCCCTCGCAGTATCACTTGGAGATGAACCGACTTGTCAAATTAGCTACAGAACCACGGAACCACCCTGATCCACCCGTTAATAACAACGGCAATAATAGCAGCAGTTGCAGCAGCAAGGCCGATGAGTCACTTCAATCAATTGAGCACCCAAGAGGAACCGTACGTCGTAATAGACGACTTAATCATACTGCAGTAAGCAACGGTAATTCCAATGGAAGAGTTAGTCCACCAAAAAGGCGCAGCAATGGAGCGAGAAGAAGGTACTGGAGACGGCAAGTACCTGTTGGCTCAACGGAGGTTGACGATGAGAATGAAGATGAGGCGGCGGGAGAGTTTTCTCTTGAGGATGAGGGTGAGGGCGTCCATTTGCATCGACATGAGGAACTTGAAGACGACATAGAGATGACTATTGAAGGTGGCGATGTTGAGGATGGTGTATCTCTGGAAGATGAAGAGGAAGTGGAATTAATGACAGCCTCGATGGAAGAAGATGGATTTGAAGACAGTCAGGATGGTGATGAACAAGATGAGGAGGATGAGATTGCGTACAATCCGCGGTTGGTTGATGTGGACTATATGATGCCATTTACTAGATGGGTTAGACGCTCATCTGGTAAGTTATCTATTCGTATTCATTCATTTATTTAATAGTCAGCCGATTGAATTTTTAGCTGTTGGCTATTGTATACTGCTTACAAGCCCAGTTTGTCGAGTTCATACAACATTGAAATCACAACTGATGATTATTGTTTCTTCTAAATTCAAATTTCTCATCGGAGGCCCTTCATGATTTCACCCCTTAAAAGTATAGATGAACGTTGGTGAACGTTTTCATAGAGTTGTTTGGGAACTACATTAGTAGACTATGAACGACTATACCCCGATTATGGATCAACTGTATACGCATCCTTGCTTAAATTAAAGCTACTTTAGCTGCTTAATTTAAGGGATTTTTTAGTTTTGCGGCTCGATCAAGTTAGTTCACTTACTGTCTTTCAATAAATTGCTTCCTAGGTCAAAATCAGGTTGAAGTTGGTGGAAGTAGTCGAGGCGGCGGTGGTCATGGTTCGACAAGTCGCCAGGGTTCAGAAGATGCCTACATATCTCGATCTCCTCGTTATAGACGCAACACCATCGTTGAGAGCAGCTCCTCTACAGACAACTTTTGGCCTCGGGTAAATCTCCTTTACTCCTCGAGCAACTCTCGTCGTGGACAGCAACCACCTCCCTCCTCCTCAACTAGTGATGATGCTACTAATAATGCTAATCAGTAGAGTCTTTCTCAATTCCTGTATATTATAGTGCTTGCACATGTGTATGGGCTATTCTTGTCTCTTCCCCTCCCCTCTCATAACAAAACGAGTAAAACGACATCAAATAGCAAACTGTTCTTTCTGTGTTCTCTCTTCCCCTTCCTCTGATTGTGTCAGTCTTTTGTTTTCCTGCCAGCACAATTTTCACAACAATCTTCATATATTATGCTTCCCTTCCCTCTCCCTATCATACTACCTTGCTACTCCTTACTCGTGCTAAATGCATATATAGTTTTAAAAACAGGTCTTTTCTGATTTGCTTGTCTTAACCAGTTAGGGGAGTAACTGAATTACTAATTTTGAGTTGCAATTGTAAACTAGCCTGTATTGTTTCTTTAAACGAACCATAGCAAGGATGTGGTTTTTCATCTATAACCACTCGACCATTGGATTAATTATAAGTGCCCATATTTGTTTGTCCTTTAGACGGTGCTGCAAGTTACTCGGTCTGGGCAGTTACTACGCTACTATTGGCTGGTAAGATCTGCCTTTTAAAGTATCTTACAAAGGAAACAAGGGTCTTATTCTAACAATTAGATACTTCAATCTGACACGTAATCCATATTATAAATTGGTCATAATAGAGGGAATATATAACACGGGCTCCAACACATCTCCAAATCTAGGCAACGTTGTATTCGGAACCCTATCAGCATAGCGATAACTAAGTGGGAAAGTTAAAGTATCAGTTCATCAGTGACATGCCTTACTGAAATGTATTTGACGGCAGTAGTGGAATTTAAAACGATTCCTGATGCAAAGGCATTCGAGAATGTTTCAACTGACCATTTCCTATCCAGGGACGTAAGTAATCATTGCGAGAACCCAACAACCTGTAAACAGGTTCTGATTCTATAGTTCACGCCATTTTTAAGATTTTGGAACTTCACAATTAAAGTCATTTTTGCGCTATTTTGGATCTAAAAGCAATGAGCATACGAGGTCCTCACTTTGATCAGCAACTTCTGCCACAAAAGTGCAGATAAATTGATCTAGAATTGACTAATGCGCCATATACCTTTAACCCACAGAATGGTGTAAGAAATCAGGTTACTGGTCGGAGCCTGCCCGCCACAAAACGGATATACACCGTCAACAAATTCGAAAGTGATAAAAGGAAGAAGACTAAGACGAAGAGCACAGAGGAACAATCGCTAACAGATGAAAATGGACAATCTGATAACAGAAGTCTATTTAACCCAGGAAATCTGGCCAAGGTATACCAAGAATTCTATAAAGAACTTGCCAATGCCTATGCCGGAATGATGAATGGTTTTAAAAAGTACAAATAAAGACCTTTATCTGTCTCAGAGTTATTTTTCAATAAGTCAAAATTTCTGGAGTATAAATATATTCAACTGTACAACTAAAGAATACATGAAACCAATTTACCTTCCTTCGAAAACACTCACTGAAATAGGAAAAAAATTAAGTTGTTATTTAAAATGAGGCACTGTACAAGCAAAGAGCCAATGCTTACAAATCTCGCTTCTCTTCTTGTAAAGTACACGGTGTCCACAGTCGTGACAACGAATATTCTCTCGGGGCTTAATTTGGCTTTCTGCCCTGCATTCTGAATTATGAAAGATATTTATTATCTGTTCAGGTTTGCCAAAAAGCATAAAATAAACATACCACCGCATATGTAAGTGATAGTTTGGACAGGAACAGCCGAAGTAGCAGTGGTGTCGACAGATGGATTTTGAGAGCTCATCAAGTAAAGACACAAAACAAGCCACGAGAACAGCCAATTTCAAGGCTTTAGATTAAGCGCCAAAATTCAAAAGGATTTTAACAACTGGATTTGAAGGAGATTGTTATAAGCTATTTTAGGTTGAAACGTAGAGAAATACAGAAATAAAATTATTTTATAAATATTTTGGAGTTTTAATCAATTGTGTAAGTTTCAAAATTGGCTTTAATTGCTACATATTATCTTATTAACTTTCTTCTAAATAAGTAAGTTTAAATAAACAGAAAAGCAATCTCGCTTGCATTTAGTAAAGTTCAATTATTATGAATCTTACATAATTAAGTAAAGGCATCCGTTTAATTAGATTCCTAAATTTCAATCAATTATTGTATTCCGATGTACAGTAATTCATCCCTAGCCCTCCATTTACATTCAGAGCCTCTTTAATAAGATATTAATAAATTATTCAAATTCACTACCACAATACTTCCGTCAGATCACACGGAATGTTATTATTATTTTTATTCTTAAAAATCCCACTTCAATGCGTATTTAAAGAAACCAAGAATGAAACATGCAAGTTTTAATCCATGTAATTTAAATAATCAAACGGGATTTGTCGAAACTGGTAAAATAGATTTTATGTAATTTAAATTGTAACTAACTTAAACCTTTAATTGTTTCATGAATAAATTACTTGTAACGGAGTGCTACTCTAATAAGCATTGGTTTATGCTCAGTAATCTCCATTGCACGTTTTCCAAATTTGAAAAGGTTTCTAGGAATTGTTAAGCTACCTTAAAGCTACGAAGAAAACATACGCATGATGTGAAATGCGTTTGTTTTTAGTGTGTATTACAGGTTGGGTGCTTAATCATCATATTAAATTGGTGGTTGGTTGAGTGGTCTCCTTGCTCATGTGACTTCCTTGTTCAGCGATGGGAATATTGTGTGGTCTACAAAGCTTCCTTTCAATTTGAGTTAAGTTCAAATCGCTTATACCATTTATTTCATGTATACTTTCAGATACTGGGTAACCTGCGATGTATGGATATACAAAATCAGTCGTAAAGCTAATATACGCTAACTGTGCAGTGGAAACAGAACCTAATTAGAGAATTGTATTTCTTACAGCTTATGGATCATTACCACAATTCGTAGCTATTAAAATACATTTATGGCTACGCTGACAGTACAGCAAGTTCATCAGCTGACAGCAGCATTCACTTGGGCAAACATTTGTGCTTTCATTGTGGTGCGTTTGTGCTCAACCTAACTGTCGAGGTTGCCTGACTCTGGTCCAAGTGGACTCATGTCATGATACTGCATTTTAGTAAGTGTGCTCAGGCCAATGCACGCTCTCAGTTCCCAACGAAATGTTCAATTCTCCCCAGTGAGAAAAAGGAGAGAATATTAAGGGAACAGTACCTTACCTGTTCCCAAACGAGCACATTTTCGAACCTTTGCTGGTGTTTTTGATACAAGAGATCTAAAGAGTTGCTTATTCAGTCTCGTTGTTGTGCATCAGTAGATATTCTACATTTCTAGTTCAAAACGAATGCTTCGCTTTTGCTTCATTCTTTCAATAATCATTAATTACTTGTTTAATATCCCATTCCTTATTTCTGTTGAAATCAATATACAGGATGTCCCAAAGAAATGTATGCTCATTGAAACTAATTATAAAAACGTGGTGTGCAAATAGAATGTTATTATTTAAAAAAACGCAAAAATACCTTGGAAGGATAATTTTATTGTTTTTCACTGCTTGTTCTCAAAACGATCTCCGGTCGTGGCTTCAGTATCATTCTTTCCTCATGCATGACATTGAAGCCCAATCAACAGTTATTGAAAATAGGAACCAAAGAGAAAGGTATCCATGTTCTCCTCCCGCCTCCCCTCCGGTTCCACCTCCTTTGATTTCCATCGCAACCTCTTTTCGACATCGCATGTGTAGTAATTACAACGAGTTTAATTTTGGAACACTACCCGAGCTACAATATTAATAGTATCCCCGAATCTATTTTTTCCCAGTACTTTATGATACGTCATCGTCTCCAAATAGTACATTACTCCTCTCCTCAATGCACAGTTGTCTTCTGCTCCTCAGTGTCCCTTTGATGTCGTAAATTGAAGGGATTCGAAGACTCAATGTACCTGTTTTATATGGAAATAGAGGAGAAAGATCCGTTTTGCGTGTTTAAGCACTTACCTTCAAAAGTATAGTCAATACTTCAGCTACTTGTTTATAAATGTGTGAGTAAGCAGAAACGCACTTGGTCCCTAACACGATCACCAGCACATCTGCCGCTTTCAAATTTCTTTTTGTCAGTCTTGGTAACATTTACACACCACAAATGCCTTCTGTTCACAAAGCAATATGCTGATATTTCAATACATTAAGAGATCTATCGAAAAAGGGACTTTCCTTGGGCCAGGGAACTCAAGTGATGCTTGTATGCCTATAAAGTTCATACCATTTGCTCTGAGTTCAAATACTCCGATGTCCAATCTGCACATTGGCCATCCAAATCATGCCGCCTAAAGTTACCCAAGTTCTCCTGAGTATCGGGAGGTGAGAGAGATGTGAATGATAATGATGATTCGAAAATTTAGATTTTGTGGTTTCTGTGTTCACAAAAAATTATTTGCCTAATTTTAGAATCTCATTTGAATTCGGATGAGTTTGTTCAAGTGCCATCGAGTGTTCTTTGTATTTTTGAGCCTGAAGCGAGGGAAGCGTGTAAATTGGGCTTCGGTTGTTTTCATACAGAAAGTGACCAAAAGAGCAGTTTTGTGTCTATTATTTTGAAATAGGGCCAAAAATAAGAAAGACAATCTCAAGGTTGGTGGAAAATCCAATGAATCTCTGCTTGGAGATTAAATCTTGTAACCACAATTCTCCCCGGATATTGCGCACAATTACACATTGTGACCACTGTATGGATCATAACTTTGACAAATATCGATTATAAGTTTTGGCTATTGTCCCTTCAAAAGTGTGAAGACTTTTGCGCTTACATATGTGATGATAACGACAAATAGTGATTGGAAACCAAAGGAAACATGGAAGCGACTAATTAGTACCATGTTAATTCGTCTTGAAATACAATTAAATGGTGCGACTTTTAGAGAAGCACATATTTCCTTGTTCAGAAATATGGAATTGGATACGTGACCGATGACTAGTCCCCAAGTTAGCCAATAATTACGTCAGAGGTTAGCATACTTATCTAGGTACACTAGGAATGAGGACTGGGTTCATGTCAAGTATAAGACTCGGTTTCTTGGCCACAACTGAATAGGATTGGATATTCAGAAAAAAAAACAATTTACTTAAATAACGTACCCAGGTGATATCATTGCCACCCTCGTTTCACAGAGCTCGTTCAGTACCTATCAACTGGGCAAGAAGTTATATCAGTTTGTAGAATGTCCGCGTTTTTTGTGATGGTCCCAACAATTTTTGTCAAGTTTAGCACTAACCTCTCTGATCTAAGGATCTCGACCTCACAATGGCAATCTAAGTGAATGTCTATACCACTGATAACAATAGTAATCGAAGTTCTTGAACCTACGGTGGCCTCAGGTGAATTTTTATGAGCGGTCCCTTAGCAGGCATTGATAGGATTCAGTTCCCTTGATAATCGATGGTCGCACCCAATCCCTCTATTGGTGATAATCTTACACATTGAAACTGCATAAAGGCCCCTTTACGAACACAGACTTCATCACTATCGCGGTCCCCACTCCCGTCTATTTCCAGTTCTTCCCTACTCCAACGTACTTAAACAGCTGCTCCTTAGTAGACTTTGGACGGTACTCAAATCTTAGAGCTCTGCTTGATTTGAGGGTTTACAGCTGATGACCATGGTTGTTGCTGAATGACAATTTTCCAACGCCAGCTTATCAACTAATGGAAACAGAAGAGGTAAAAGATACTATCGACCTTTATTGCTTTAGAATATATATATATGTATAAATACTGGTTGTGCTAATACAAGTAGGAGTACAAAATTAGTTTAGCTACAGAGATTAATCTTAATAGTAAAAATCTGATTACTGGTTACGCCAGGCGGTTGCGTATTTCAGATTAAGCATCTTTCCATTAATTAGGGATTGAATCATAAATTCTTTGTTCACCACAACAAAGCCCATGCTTTGTATCTCAGCTATTGTTGGCCCCGGGATCTATAAGGAAGAAGCATGGACAAGAGGTGAATTAAGATTAACAAGTGGTATAGTTTGCCGTAGAGTGCTTACTCTATCTTGATCAGCCAAGACAATCTTCAAATCATACCCGAGGATGGATGAGGCTGGCGAAGCCTTCAATTTTTGAAGCTCATTTAAACTTTCAGTCGGTGATAGAATGACGGGCAATTCGGTAGACTTTTTATTGAACAGGGTGTAACGAAGAATAGACAGCCACCCATTACCAAATTTAGTCGAGTCATTGGTGATTATGGCAACTATATTAGCAAATTTGAAGCCTCCCAATTCCAATAGGGTTTTCGGTGGAGATAAAGTTTCTGTTTGTGCGAAGATCTGTGAGAATATTGTGCTAAAAGATTGAAGAAAGTTAGAGATAAGAAGAAGAAGCAAGTGTGAATTACTGAATACTAATAGCGCGAGAACGCGTACAAATAGGTGGAATCAAGGAATCATCACCTTTCATCGAGTAATAGAAGGCATTAGGTAATGAGGCCAAAAGGTTCTAAAAATCTGGCCATCGTTTTTTGCTAGACGAATTCATCTTTTCCTCATGATTAGAGGAGCGATTACTTTTGGAAGCCTTCCTCCTGTTCGAAAAATTGTGAGAATTTTGATTAAATCTCCCAAAGTGTATGAAGGACCTCTCCGTTGAACACACACACACACACACGGTTTTTGAACGCTATCCAGTACATAACGCGAAAGCATATGGAGGTGTGGAGAATGGATGAATATGCTATTTTAGAAAATTCGATTAGAAATGTTAGAATGAATAACAGTCGAATTTCGATTCTTCGACAGGCCTTTCCGAAGTAAGGGTTCTTCAGATTCCCGATCCGATAGCACTCAGTAACACTACCCCCCTAAGGGGAAGACGTTTAGTCCAGTGTCGGAAATCAGCGTCTTCCAAAAACTAGAAATCACAGTCACTAAAATATTCAGGAAGTCAGCCTTTCTAAATTCACTAATAAGGCGACGTGATGAAGTTTAACTGTTTTCATTTGCACACTTCTAGAGATAGAGCAGGCCATCGAAATCCGGCCTGATCATCGAAATACTTTGACAATATTTCTTCAGGTTCATCGGGTTATTAATCGACTGGGCTTATTGCACCTAGTTTCGCAATAAAGCTTGACATTTTTTTATCACCGAGTGCATTTTGTAGCACTGTTCATGTTTCTCGTGCCACTTTGTGAAGAGGCAACCAATTTTACCATAGCAGTGGCAATTCCTAATTTGTCAGGAGTCAGTCAGTCATTGAGTAAGTCTGAAATAATTAGACTAGATTGGAAATGGGAGAAAATATTTCGGGAAATGTTTCAAGAAGATTTGCTTAAGCCACTTTTGCCATTGCCTTGTTGTCAGCGGACAGATTAAAGTTGTTTAAATGTGAGGGATAACCTAGGATTGATGGACTTTTCTGATGCCTTTGTAGGCACTTTCGTTAAATGCTACTGAGTTCAGAGATGGTCGTGATGGGAAAAAATGGACAAAAAAGATTGCATGGCTAATTTCTTCTTTACATGATTGTTCAGTACGCTTTTGATCTACTCAACCTTTAGTGCCATTTTCTGGGAGCTGTAGTGAAACGTTGTTACCCTAAAGTATAACCAGCACTCTAGATTTCTATGACGTTGTTGAGGGAGAAACTCCGGAATTTCAACTCCTTACTAAACATGGATATAGAAAGCTGTTAATTTCACTGAGTTCAACGTAATTGTTATTGCTAATTCCGTTCCTTCATAAATTAAATGAAAGAGTAGGTATCACAACTCAATCTGAAAGGAATCATTCAGCTTTTAAAGAGATTCCAAACGCCTGATTACGAAGAGACAGACACACAGATGCGAGCAACTGTCTCCGGAAATTTGGCGCAGGTTTCTTCCTTAAAGCAGTCAAAACTAGTCCTAACAGCAGCAATATCGTCCTTGGGATATAGCGAGAGCTGAATGATAAGGGTTTTAAAGGCACAAAAAAGTCAACAAACACAAACCAAAGAGTCTTACTTTCGAGTACACAGATATGGAAACGTCGCGCTACTCTGTTCAGAAAACAAAATTATAAGAATCGTAAGTCTAAGTCATTATTTTATTACAAACACTAAAAGATAATACTTTTTTGATCGAGTTTAGAAAATAATAAAATAAAAGACCTACGGAGGCACTAGGGTATTGCTAATCTTGTCAAAGCCTCTTGGTAGCTCAAAGAGCCCACGGAAAGAATGTCGGAGAAGGGCCATTGGTAGATCCGATGTTTTAAGGTTCATTTTGGATATCTTTGTGACAACCTCGGAAGGCGTGACAATTGGCGATCTCCCCGAGGAAATGAGACAGGCATCAAGAATCCATACCCGGTGGACCTGAGGCACACGTCCGAGAGTGGCCAGAGCTTGAAGGTACCTCACATTCCGGCAGGCTGCTGGAGCTATTAGTGCAACGTGACGTCCAGTTGTAGAATCTTTTTCCACCAGACAACCATTTGGCGAGATTTCGCCCCAGTCTTCACCGATATTACGACCTCCACCTGCCGATATCAACATTTGCAAGAAAAAGGCGTTCTGCGAGATGAGCACTATTGAAATTGAAACGAAGAAGGTTGAGAAATGAAAGCTACTTGTGTGAACAATGTTTCCATTGAGATTTATGCGTAGCTAAAATTCGATAGATCCAAAAGATCTCTAACTCAAACGCCCAAAGCATGCAGATATGGATATGCAGTCGAAAATTTCCAAATCGTTATTCTAGCATTTACATACATCACGGCTAAGTATAATCAATTTTATATTTTATATCATAACCCATGGTTAAACAAGCGTCTTACAGTATTTCATAGCATATAAATGCAACTGCATTCGAATAAGAGTAAAGTCCAATAGAAAACAAAGAGAAGATGCTGAAAGTAACAGAAGAGCTTTCACGAATCGAAATTTAAATTTCATGATTATAAGTGAAGGAAGGATGATGACGCGTGTAGTTTACAAGGAGATAAATAAAATATAAAAAAAGCTCAACGTACACTGGTCTTTTGCAATAGGGTCAATGGAATCAAGGTAGAAGGGATTCGAATGAGCGGAATTAACACCGCTTGTCATGGCGAATGCCCAGTTGGAAAAGAGATCAGGTGGTGGCGTTGGGATATTATACCTTTGACACATGCCCCTGAAGGTTTCCACGCCCAGGCCAACCACGGAAGAATCTAAAAGGAGAATTGGAGCGACGGAAGTAAAGACCGAGTGAAAATTTCCGCTTAAGAATCTAATCTGCATATTTCGACCTACGGAAAATGTGGATTACATGTCCATTTTGGGAAAAAAAATCACACTAATCGTTCACTGCAAAGAAATGGCAACATTGAGGGAGATTTGACCAATGTGTTTGGGTATCCTTTTCATTAAATGTGAACATCGACCCCGGAATTTTGCAGAAGAATGCTTTAACTATTAGCCCCAGAAGTATATAAAACTGCGAGAGGACATAAATCCATAGGTAAAAATGATTAGAGAAAGCGCGACAACTAAATAGAACCTTTTAAGATGTGGAGTCAAACCAAAGAGGTAACCATGGTAAAGCAGTGATGTGTCTAGCAACTAGTGGCAAGCAAATATTCGTAGATAAGAAAGAAATGTTTCTACGATGTTCGGGAGATGGCTAAATGCGAAATCTAACAAAAACAATGAATACTGATCCAAGTTAGAAACAGTTAGAGTGTCATCTGCAATCAGTGACAAATTGTGAATAATGCTGGGAAACAATTATGACGTAGAAGCATATTATAAAACGATGGCAGTTGGGTGAAATAACAAACCAGGACAAAGCTGAAGCACTAAATCAACCCCCATATGTACTTCGTGTATCTTAGATGATTACGGTATTTTCATGACTCCACACCAAAGTTTCTGGGATAGAATTCGGCTAGCGAAGGCAGTTGAAATCTTATTGTAGCAACCTATAAGGTAACAATAGGCATACTGCATGAATCTAAGCCAGCGCTAATCCCAGTAAAACTACTTTTGTCAACTGAATGAGGCATCGCCTTTTAAAACTAATGATTGTAAGGGACAAAGTAAGGCAACAGTACTCGAAACTCAGAGGAAGATGAGCTAAAATTAACAGGCACTTAAAAATGGTAATGAAAAATGACAAAAATCTACATATTGGTCAATATTGCATAACTAAATCAGCACCCCGCACACCCGTCTCGGCATCAGCCAGATTAAGCAGAACAATCGACTAATTAGAATCTCTGGTACCTAGGCCAACAGTTTGATAATTGTTATTCTTTTATTTTTTGAGGAACCCCAATTAAAATCCCCCCCCCCCCAAATAAGTCATTATGCTATGCAATTATCGAGAAATGTATACCAACGTTCAAGTTACAAGTAAAGAGAAAATTAAATAATAACCAACAGACAGTATGAACCAACCCTCGACGCTTTCAAGTGAGAATCGAGAATTGCTTAGCCCTCCCCCAGCATTGACTTGGATTTTTGGCGGCGATGCTGAAGCCGAGATCGACTCTTCTGGAGTGGTAATTGTCTTGGAAATTTTTCGACGCTTTTCGAGAGTGGGAGAGGCGAGAGAAACACGTCTCCTCTCCAAGAGAATCGATGCGCGCGAAGCCCTTGTAACTATGCGTCGGCCAGTTAGCCACATCTACAATGGGGAAGAAGTAAGCTTGATCAGTAATCCTTGTATGTTAGTAGACAAACAGCGAGAAGTACTTTCAAGTTAACAGATAAAAAGGAGGGCAAAACGCCACCAATCTCCACTTCATGGGAAGTCAGAGTGAAAGTATAAACTGTAAATGTTTTCATTTGAAGAAATTAATTTTTTCCTATCATTATTACCACTTATTCAGCAAATTGCTCATATGAACAACTACGAATTACGTAGTTTTCACTACAACATAACGAAATCCTGCCTTTTTTCCTTAATTCTGACTGAAACATCCTTTGAGGCGGCGTGTTCAAAATGGTTTAAATTTGTTAAGGAGAACAAGAGAATTGGAATTTTTTTGTCAATTTACCATAAAACAAGCATGCCCTTTAAGCCGTGCTTGCTAAGTTCTGGGGTCGTCACATTGTCCACATTGGACGTATTTTTGTGGCCACGTTGGAAGGTAAATAGGGCTACTTTCTGGGTTTCAAGAACTACCTTGGCTTTAGACAAAAACAATGATCGATGATACCTGCAAGCAGATATATTCAATTCCCCACATGACTACTTTCTGCTTCCCCTCAACTACTACCATACCGTCAAGATATGCAGCTGCGTCTTTCGTATATTGGAAGGTGGAAGGAATTGGTTTCCCTCCCAATGAAAGTCTAGTAAGGCATTCACGGCATACAGATGTTTAGGCTAAAAATAATAGCGATTGGGCTTTGGGTATTAGAAGTGATTTATATACTAATAAAAAGTGACAAAGAGAAAATGCTTTCACAAATTAATTCACTTAAGACGCGTGACGTCTTGACTTCTATTTCTACGCCTATTCCAACCCCTTATGCTTTGTCCTTTAATTTAATATTTTTTATACACAGAACAAACAGATCCTATCCCAAAAATGACAATTTATTGCAAAACCATGAGAAATAGCAAGAATTAACGATACACACTAAAAGTACTAGGCATTAACGATGGAATTAAAAAAATAACGTCATTTCTTAAGTTAGAATCATTCAATTAACCGTACAGTAGTGTGAAGAGGAGTACATCAGTTCAACAAATGTGTTTCCAGGACCTCCATCCTCCATTTTGCCAAAACACATGATTGCGTGTGTTTATTAGGTGGTTATTTACTTATTTAATGTCTCTGAATTTGTCCAAATCGTAACACCACTAAAATGTCTACCTGGCTATCTTCTCGCTTAATAGATCCTGATCGAAGAGTGTTCCTTTGAGTTTGATGCTTTGAAGTCCGCTTCTTAGAGCACATAGTAACGGATCTCTTCATGGTTTTCGTCGGCAATGCAGTAGAGGCTTCCTCCCTTAACCTTTCACGTGAATTTGTTTTTCTTTTGTTTGCTCTCTTTGTCCTTCGAGCGCCCTTGGCTGCGGCAGATACTTGCCTTGTCTAAAGAGAGGAATATTCTGTTTCATCAACTTGCCTCAACGGTAGGTGGACTTTCAATTAGTGTACTACTACTATTGGTAATACTCACGCGATCGCCTAGAGATGGCCATTTGATGATACTGAATACTTGTTCGTTGGCAAGTAGTTTCTTTAACTTCGCTAGGTGTATTGCCACTAGGGAACGAGGCACCCTAAAGAAAATTGAAAAAGATGAGAAACCTTTGAAACCTTACTGATTAACTTCACCACTCTCGATTTTCTTGATAATGTAGGAAGGTGGGGCGGCGTCGACTGCGTGCCCTGTTACAACATAGCCGGGTTCGAAGTCGCTGGTTCCGTTGATGTCCACTAATACCTAAGTAGAAAAAGAAAGCTGAAGGATCAGCACTAATGATGATCTGAAAATAATTGCAAATACTACTATCCATGTTAGTAGTCCTTCAGACGTATGAATTAGTTGCTCATTTAGTCGCGTATGGACGCCAATTTCACTGCCACAAAGTTAGTGCTTCGATTGCATTGCTTGACAGAAATTTTCGCATCAATAATCTACCCCAGCATTTCAATGGACATAATATTGCATTAATTTGCACACAGACAAAGCTGCACCTGAGGTAGAGAAAATGACCTTGCCAACCATTTACGAATGTTAACACAAGACGGGGAAGAGGCAACATCTGCTGCTTGATAATAACATCAACGCTATTTTATGAGGAATAGAAAGAGATCCGGTATTTAGAAGGCGGAAAACTGGGACAAATCAATAAACAAATTTAAGAGAATACTCAACTTGAGGCGAGTCGAGAGGTAAAATAGACTCCGAATGAATGACATTTTCCTATCACATCAAAGCCCATTGCAATGACTATGAGCAAAACACTATTTTCCCAAAATATCCGCCCTATCAAGGACACAGAAGAGGCAATGGATCGATACCTTACCAATCATTAATCACTATCTTATTTGACAGTTAATTAATTACTGCTTAGAAGTGCAACGAATAACAAGGACACGGTTAATTTAAAACTCACGCGTTAAAATGATGTCCTCAACATTTACATCAAATTTAATAAGAGGTTCTTAATGAGATTTACCGAGAGAGAGAGAGAGAGCGATAGAACGTTTTCCATTTCGCTGAGTAGTAAAGAAACAAACATGATCAAACCCATGGACCGAATCTCTCCCTCACCCCATTTTCCTCATTTCTACACTTGCAACCATACAACTATCCAACCAAATTGAATATTGTACGATTTTATTTTAAAAACCCATATTACTACAACATACACTTGATTTTATTTTCGAAACTGGATCGTATAGTTTATAGGGCATGAACAGATGAGTAATCAACGATGAACATTTTTGGAAGTAAGAAAAAAAGTGATAAAATTAGATAAAATGAGACAAGTATCAATTACCTCAGTTTCCACGGGAAGGAGCTCAGCAAGAATCACATTTCGAGCAGTCACTTCAGCAACCGAATTATCTTCAAATTCGATCTGAAATCTAAGAGACAGAAAAGAGACTTAAGGGATAAACTTTACGCATACTTTCCGTTTCCCAGTGACTTGGCAATCCTTCCAGCGTAGAATTTGTTGCTATTCCACCACTTAGCATAAACAAGCATCCCTTGAGAAAAGGTGAAATAAAATTTGACTGTTAATATGGGATGATGAGGTAAGGGTAGCTCTCACATGGGTGTTTTGTTTTTAAGAGGGAGGGGGTTAATTGAGAGAGAATTATGCCGACCGGGCTTATCCTTACCCAAATTCCAAGGCGAATCATCCACAGAAGTTGCGGGGGCAGTTTTCCTTGAATTTGAACGTAATTTGCTCATTGGTGTGGCTTCCGCAGTTTGATTTCCTCCTTCCTTTTCGTCGATGATCTTTTCTTCTTTGACAACATTCGACCTTCAAAAGATTTTAAAAGCACTTAGAAATAGAAATGACAGTAGAATCCAATGTTATAGCTTCGTAAAAATTGAGAAATGCAAGAATCAGTATTCATAGGATAAATAAGATCCCCAAATAGGTCCCCAGTGGTAACTTTATGAAATAGGTAAAAACGGGCGAAGTTATAACCAACACCATAATCCATGTCCTAAAGACGAGCAAATCTCGACGAAAGTTAACTAACCCTCTCACATTAAGAGAAGCCAACTTGAATAGCGTGCTTAGAAGCCTAAAATTACTACTCCCGATTTAGTTTCACTGACACAAGCCAAAACGAGTTCTCCACATGCACAAATGTGTAAAAGTGTGAGGCTCGAGTCTTGAAAACCACGTAAGACTCATTGCACTCCTCCAACTTTACCTTGAATGAATTGTGGGTTAAATTAATCAAGAATCCTGGGTTACACTAACAAGGCTAGAATTTCGAAGGAAGACAAAACATTCTAGTTAATAGTGATCACAAGTTAGAGGTCGTAGAAGCTACCCCGCCGCTCAAATGGGTGATGAACATAATTCCATATAGTTTAAATTCCGTGCACAATACTTTAAAGAAAAAGACCTTGTGAAAGATAAGAGGGCGGTCAAATTTATCTATAACTGGTGCTGCCATTCTCGTGGTTATAGCTACATCTAAGTACCCTCTTTCTCTATTGGATTAGATGTACCGTATGGAATCAATCATAGAAAAAACATTCATAATTATTAAAGCAGAGAAATACTGCAAAAAATTGTAGCTCTTGCTTATATTTGGCTTTCTTGTACTCAAGGGATCAGAAGCAAATGGAGATTGTGAAAGGAATGCGTAATCTTCTAGCATTTAGCATAAAGCACGACCACGTTAAATAGCAACTGAAAAAGTAGGAGTTTAAATAAAGCGGGAGTAGGATTTTCATGGGCACAATTTAAATAAAACAAAAATTCGCAATATCTTTCCACACGCAGAGTGGAAAATTCGTTAAATCAGAATCGCTTTGACCCCACAACATAATCAATCAAGTTAAATGAGTCATACCGCGACGGATGCTCTGTTAGATATGTTTTCTACTCAGACATTAGTCATCAGATACCCGAAAAGCACAAATTTTCAAATAAATGACTACGAATTAGACTAGTGGACAAAGGCTTTCTTTAGGCAAGGAATTTTATGGTAGAATTGTCTGTGTAATTTGGAAATTAGACCAGCTCAACTTCAAGAACAAGCATTGCCAACCATCTCGGCTTTCCAACTCTTCTCTCTCCGACATCCTATTATACACATAGCGATTAAAATAAACTGCAAATTATTCAAACAAAGGAAGCAATTTGCCTCTGTGCTCCACTGGCCTTATTTTGAGGTAGAACTAAAAAAAGACCACTCACATATATACAAGTTTATATATATTGAAGGATACTCACGTTTCACGTCGACTGGTGAGTCTCCTAGGCGTCGAAGGCTTTTCCCTCACGGAGGTTTCTAAAACGAAGGGAACCGAGAACCCGAGATAAAACCCCAACACCCATGTCAGCAATAGAGAAATTTAAAGAAGACCAAAACCCACTCTTGACTTTTGCACTTTTATTCTTAACAGCTTCGATCCGAATCACTGGGCTCTACAAATAACAGCAATAATAATAATAGCATTTGAGCATTATTCGAGGGAATTATGAGAGATCGTAAGGCCAGGTTACGCAATTTTTCAAAACTGAGGCAACATCGGCAATGCCCTCTGAGACTAGGGGTTCAGGATAAAATGATAAAGCTACGGGCAAATGGTTGAAGAAAGGGAAAAAGCATCGAACTGCGCCACATTAAGTCAGCGTAAGCTAGTACCACCCTTTAGATAATAAAAAATCTCACTAGTTCTTTCCAACTAATAGTTCTAGAATACTAAAGACAGGAGTGGCGCCATCGTCTAACCTCTTGGACATTGTCTTTTCGAATGAGCGCCGAATTTTTTCTGCAAACATGTGACTTGATTTTAAAACAAGAAAGGGGAAGAAAAGCCACCTTATTTTATCAACAAAAAACAAACGCCAACTACAAAAGCGACTAGTGATATGTAGAAACCACCAATTAACCTTAATGCCGGCATTTCAATAAATTCTACATTATCAAAACCTTATCCTTGATACGACCTTACGTTTAGGCTAATCAGATGATAGTTAAGTACAAATTTTGTCTCAAGGAACAGCTCTGGATCAATAGCCATTGCAATATTTTGTAAATGTTGGCAATTGCTTGAACATGCTTCCTTTATCGAACAAATAACAACTTGTTAATAAATTAAACAGTTTATAAATAACGAATAGAAGACCATCGTTTATTGAAATCATCATTCAATCGTTTAATATAACTAAGACCAAAGCACTTTCAATTAGATCGAGACGAGGAGATTCTAAAACTTTGTACTTTTAAGGTCAATTGTTTACATTTCAAATTTACTTCCCATCCTATCTATTCCACATAAGCATTAGCAGTCTATCTGATAGAAGTGAAAGGGATTAAATACCCACATTTTTCGAATATGCATCAAGTTCCGCAAAACCTCCTGGGCTTATTGGCTCCTGATTGTAAAGAACACTGAAAGGCAAATAAAAAAAACGTGTTTGAGGAAATGATAACCTCCGCAAGAGAAATGAGCTTATTAAACGTGTTACTTGGATGCATCAGATGATTTGTTATTGGTGTTTGCGAAATCATCAGTTGACGTTTCTGCAGGAGAAACAGCATAAGTATTAGCACAAGTGCGAATAAAGAAAGCTTCAAATCAATAATACCCCCGTCCCCACTTTGTTCTGATTAAATGGTTAAATCCCGCAAACTTATAATAATCATATTGATTAAAAGCATAAGGTTAACTAATTAGAATGGAAAAACGCAATGTATGCAACACAAGAGAAAAAAGGAACAAACGAAACGAGTATGAAATTAACACAATTATACTATTTAATGCAAAAAAAGGCTTTGATTAATTCTAAGTCACGGCAAAACCTTCAAGCACAGAGAACCGATTGGGTAATCCAGGTAAGTTCAATATTAGCACTTTCGAAATTGTGGCAAATAATGAACATTCCTTTTTCCTAATTCATACAAGGAACAAACAAATTTATAAATTTCCTACTAAAGCAAACAGGAACAACTGGACGTAACTACTCCAAGTGGTGGCAAGCACTACTTAGGCATTACTCCCCCCCCCCTGTTGAAGCCCTAGATTAGGTGCCAGTTAGATTGGATTAATATTGTCTCAGGAACACCCATTGGAAAGGAGAATAAATTTGTACAAGTCTGTTATCTACTTATTATTATTATTATAAGCACCTCACAGATCAAGGATAAAGATAGAAGAATGTCCAAACGTAATACTGATTAAAGACAATAGGATTCGGGTGGGAAGGAAAATTTCTCAGCCGAAAGATTCAAATATACCTTTAGTAGTCATTCTGGGAGATATTGCTGCAGCGGTTATAGATTCCTAGAAAAGAAATGTGAAGTTATCGACTATTGGGAATTTCAGCATCCTTGGGTGCAAATAATCAATGCCCTTACTGAAGTTTGAGGACCCGCTAATTCATCCTGTAAATTGGGTCTTTTGCTACAAAAAGGCAAGTCAAGATGAGAAAGGAGGATATATATATATATATATATATATATATAT